GCAAACCAAGTCAAAGCACAAAGAGTTCCGAGGCCCGGAGGTAAGGCTCTCAGCTAAAACTCCGGAGACTCGAAACGAGCACAACATGCACCATCACCGAGCGCTCAATCAATGACGTCTGAGTCTTAAGGTTGGTAAAAAATTTGGTGTCTACACATTTGTAGAGACAAATCAAAGCAGTGGGATCTTGTTTTGCCTCAAGCGAAATTCGCATATATTAGTGCAGTTCACAGTTCACAAGAAAGTCACCATTCTCTTCGGTGTATGTCGTACCTCCAAAACATGCAGTTGATCTGCTCCGCCGTTTGCCTCGGGGTCCAAGAGTAAGTATTGCCGCTGAAACCATGGCCAAACAAGCCCAAGCAGTCCAAGAAGAAGTACGACAGAAGTTGGAGGAAACAAATACCAAATATAAGACAGTCATAGACAACCATCATCCCTCTAAATTGTTCGAGGAAGGAGATTCAGTAATGATGTTTTTGCACAAAGACAGATTTCCAATAGGCACATACAACAAATTGAAGCCTTACAATTATGGTCCATAGAGGGTGTTGAAGAAATCAATGACAATGCTTATGTGATTGAGCTACTAGAAGGCATGAAGATTTCCAAGACTTTTAATGTAGCTGATTTATATGAGTGTTATGCTAAAGAACCCCTCTATCCAGAATCGAACTCATGGTCGAGTTCTCTCCGAGAAGAATGGACTAATGTAGAACAAGTAGCCGAAGACTTCTTGGAATAATTGGACCGCCAAAAGGCAAGAAAGAAACAAATTGAGAGCAACAGAGATACTTTTTGAGACGAGTTTGGAATTGTCTCAAATTTGGTAGTCTGATCGGAAATAGCGTTTGAAATTCAACTGCAACATTCTTCAAGGTCTCCAAATTCAAATTTCAAACAAGCTCTACAATCGCTATGAAAGATGTCTTTGGTGCACTGTACAAGCCCATAGATTGATTCATTCCTTGAGAATTTGGTTAGAAGGATTGACAGTGGCTTCATCCGAGAGTTTATTCATAAAATCCTTCAAAACTTTAATAAAACTAACACGGTCTGATATACTTTTCTCCTGTTTGTTTGAGTCAGGATACATTCCATTATAGACCATCAAGGAAAAGAAACCCACGTATGAGTATCGTACTTAACAAAATTCATGCATATAATTGCATTTTTGGTTGGACACTTCATGTTCTCCTAGCTTGCATTCTTTATACAATCCCCACACACATCAGAAGTGACATCCTGTGACAGTTGAGTTTTGAGGACCGCTCGAGCAATTATTTCGTCGCTCGAGCGAAGATTTGTAGCTCTTAGTAGTTGTTATTTTGCAAGTGAGACAACTTGAGTGGTGAAGTAGTCCCTCGAAGTTAGAATTCATACTTTCAGTATTTTCACTGTAGCTCTGCAAAACTTTTGGAACCCCGCATTTACCGCTCGAGTGGTGGAAGTATCACTCGAGCGGTCTCCTTGAAATCTTCTTGGTCACTCGAGCGAAGAAAAGTTTGCTCGAGCGGTCTGTCGGTGCAGCTGACTTAAAGGGGTGACCGACCTCATTTCTTTTTCACTTTTCACAAACTCTGTCTCTCTTTCTCCCACCCATTCTGAAACCCTAGCCCCAAACCACTTGATTTCTTAGCATTTTGCTCTAGATTCACCCAAGATCCTTCCAGATAATTGTAGTGCAAGTCAAGTTCAAGTTATTCACCGATTGTTTCGCGATTTGGTTGAGATTTCGCTTGGATTCTCCACTTTAGCTTCTATTTTTGAGATAGGGGTGTTCTTAACTTGTTACACCTTTAATTTGGAACTCATATGTGGTAATTTCATTACCTATTCATTTTGTATACGAGTAATGATTCATGTTTATGGACAGAATTATGTTTATTTTTTATGATTATTGTTGTTAGTGAAGAAATTTAGCCTCTAATTCCTGAAAGAGAGGAAACCCCTAATTTTTCTATAAACCCTAGTTTTGAAACTTGTTTTAAAAAGAGGGGTTTTGTTCAATTGATTCTTAAAAACATGAAATTGAGGGTTATTGCTTAACTTTGAGGCTGAAATGTATGATTTGAAATACTTTTCTACATACACCTTGTGTTGGTGATGATTGTTGAATGAACCATAGTTATTATTGAAAGGTGAAATAATGAATCGTGTACATTGGAAATCATTTTAAGAGAAAATGAGTATTTTTAAATTTCATGCATCATACGCATTACCAAATTTCTTTTTTGATTCAATGGATGGTGCAAACAGTAGAAAGCTAAAAGGGGGGTAAATAGTCTATGAGTCCGGGTAGTGAGTCAGGTGGTTTTGAGTTGTGTATTGTATTTGGTACTCGCTCAGGGAGTCAAGGTGCCCAATTGAGATTTTGATAAAAGTACAAGGGTGTTAAGGACAAAATGAGATTTTGATAAAAGAACAAGAGTTTTAAGAACTAAAGTGAGATTTTGATAAAAATACAAAAGTGCAAAGTATAATTAATACACCTACGTAATTATTGTATGTTAGTTTTCAAAAAGGAGCTGTCTAAATGGATCCAATCGAAACTTAACTGAAAGTCTAAGGGGTTAACTAATACAATAAAAAATCATGGGGCATAGTATAAATTTCCATAAATACTAATAGTACCGTTACCCTAAAATTATTATATATTGGCAATTGACGTGGTACTGTTCATCTTATTGTATACAATTCAATGACTAAAAGAATGATATGCATTAGATACTCCAATGCTATCATTTTCAAGATACAGATTGGTTATCAATACATAAATGTTAACCCATTTGTGGAATTGACTCTGATATTAAAATGCCCAATATCATACTTATGGGTGAAGACAACTTGATAGGACCAGTTGTTGACAACCAGATTTTATTAAAACAAGATGTTGAGTGTATAAATTATTCTATGAATTATAGGTAAGGGTTAAGGGTTACTCAGAATTCCTATACTTTATTAGAAGAGGTTAAGGGTTCAAGTCTTGTCATAGACTATGAATTTCAATGTAAGAAAAAAAAAAAAAAAAATACCATGCAAGTCTCGAAGGGATTGGCTTCTCTCCCCTAGGCTAGAGATCCAAGGCACGGATAGACCAAGAATTTCAATATATAGAAGCCCATTTTACCGTATTTGTTGGGCTCTCATATTGTAGTCAATTGTTTTGTTAAATCAGTCACTTCATTTTTGAAAGTCTAACAAAAAAATTAAAAAATTACTACTTTCAAAGATTCAAAATCAAACAGATAGTTTTCAAAATATTAAAATATTTCTAACGGTGTATCATGAATGGGGTTATAATTTTAAAATAGTAATATCATGATTTATGTTGATATATTAGTTGATATATTAATTAATATATCAATTAATATATATAACGCCACCATTTAATTTAAGCAAGGTTGTTTTGGGTTAATGTTTACATATGATTGTATGTGGTAAAGTAGTTGGGATAAGAAGGTTTTGCCATGATGCATTATCTGTCTTTTGCTTTTCTTTTATTGATGTTTTTTTTTTTTTTTTAATCTGTAATTGTCCTTTGCTTTGTGAAATTAGAGTATTTACCACTAGAAAATATAGTCAGAAAATCATCACCATACCATTCTCCAAAGCAGACATTACTATTAACATTTATTATTTAGAATAATGCTACATGTAATAATTGATATATTAATTAATGTACTAACAGATGATATGGTATAATTTTAAAAGTTTTGATATTTGTAATTTGTATAATAGGTAGGGTCAATAATAATATTATAATATATGTTGGTACACTAATTAATATATTAATTGGTATATGTAGCACTATCAATATTATTTAATAATTACTTTTGAATTTACCCACTACGCATTAATGGTTTACTGTTCATCTTTGAGTTATACTAAGAATCTCAAATGAATTACTAAATTTTTTACCAAACCTCTTATATGGGTGTGGGGCCACACAAATCACATCTGTGGAGATCCTATACCCATGTAAGAAGTATGATAGAAAATTTGATAATTGATTTAAGATCCCTTCATCTTTTGATTTTACCAATTCAATGTTTAATTTATGCATGTATACATAGAGGATAATTTAAACTACATAAACAACCATTTATATAAAATTATTTTAATATTAAAATATACAAACTCCCACATGAAAATTATTCCTTCCACATCTGATTACAATTCCTCACTAATGACAAAGTATACTTTGAAAATCCCAGATAAGAATTGAAATAAGTTAGGAAGTTATTCCTTCCACATCCGATCACAATTCCTCGGTCGCCTCGCACGATAAATGACCAGTCATATAAGGTAGAAGGATGTGAAAGAAAATGCCTGGTAATGACGACAACTTGCATAGGTCTTAATTAGGGTAAATTACACTACTAGCCCTTTCAGGTTCAAAATTTTATTTTGATTTTGGTAATTCTAATTTAAACAATTTAGTTTATCTATTTTTAATTGGACAAATTACATATAACTCCTTTGAGATTTAGTTAAATTACAGATATTCCTCTAAGATTTATATTTTCATAACAAATTATCCCTGAGGTTTATATTTTCATAACAATTTGCCCCTTAATTTGTTATGAAAATATAACCTTTAGGGGATATCTGTAATTTCTTAAACCTTATGGGGTATCTGTAATTTTGCTAAATCTCGAGGGATATATATGTAATTTTTCCTTTTAAATCTTGTTACAACGTGATCTTTTCGTCATTGCGTTGTTAATATTTTGAATAAAAAAAAAATCATGTGCAAAATTAAAGGGACTATAGTGAAATTCAAAACAAATTTCACTTTGGTCCCTCTAGTTTTGTAAATGGTCTTTTTTCATTTCAAAATTTAACAATAAGTGAAGAAGGGACCACATTGCAACAGAATTGAAAGTATAGGGTTTAAATTGTTCAAATTGAAACCACGGAAACTAAAGTGATACTTTACTTAAATTGCAAGGGCTAATGGTAATTTACCCTAATAGAAACCATTACTCAACTTGGCATAATCAATCACCGAGGCATAATTTCAGAAATTGTTGATTCATTAACAGAATAATCTTTATCATTTGGTTCATAATGATCAGTGAATCTCCCCACAGAGAAGGCAGGACGTTCGGGTTGGCTAAGAGTTATAACTTCACTTTTTAGCATAACCACAACCGATGACATAGTTGGCCTGTCGTATGTATCTTCTTGAACACACAACAAACCAATATGCATGTACCTTAAGAACTCATCAAGATCACAAGACTCCGTCAATAATGGATCAATCAATTCCAGCCCTTTCCCTTCATTCCATAATTGCCATACCTGTAGCATCACGCAGCCAAATATACTTATTCAAGCAAAACTTGCAACATGGCTATCCATTTTGAGAAGTATAGTCTAACTCAAGCCAAATAAACTTACATATGCTATAAGGCTTGGAGCGCACTTAGTGAGATGGAAATTAGCATTCTTCCTCCCAGTTATGATCTCAATCAAAAGGACACCAAAACTGAAAACATCAGACTTGATGGAATATAACCCTTCCATTGCAAACTCTGGAGCCATGTAACCACTATCCGACAAGAGAAAGGATTGGAAAGATATTCAATAAGTTAACTCATGTGATTAATGGAGCTACCTACTTAATTGTTTGACATAGATTAGTTTGAAAAAAAGAAGAAAAAATGTCAGAAAAACAAACAGTGAACTCACTATGTTCCCACAATCTTAGCAGTGTTAGTTGCACCATCACTTCCTCCGAAGATCCTTGCCATTCCAAAATCTGAGATCTTTGGGTTTAATTCACTATCTAGTAACACATTGCTTGGTTTTAGGTCCCTATGAATGATTCTAAGCCGAGAATCCTCATGAAGATATAACATTCCCCTTGCAATTCCATTGATGATATTTAGACACCTACTCCAATTCATTTGCGCACGCTTCCTAGGATCTAACCATAAAAGAATAGAAAAAAAATAAAAAAAATAAAAAAATACACTACGGATTAGGAAAATAAACTTCTGATTAACTACAATGAAACATACCCATTTTTATATATTACATTTGTATTAAAAAACTGAGATATTGTACAAAAAAGAAAAGAAAAAAAGAGAGAAAGAAGGATACGAACCAAATAGGAAGACATCAAGGCTGCCATTGGGCATGTATTCATAGATGAGCAGCTTTTCCTCTCCATCTATGCAAAACCCCAAAAGCCTTACAAGATTTTTGTGTTGAAGTTTCAATATTAATAAAACTTCATTGGTGAATTCATCTAAACCTTGCTCTGAACAACTTGAGAGCCTCTTCACTGCAACTTCCCTCCCATCAAGTAATTGACCCTGGAAAGACAATGTTTCAGGCAATTAAAACTAGGAACCAAGAAAAAAGAAAAAAGCACAAAAGAAAAAAAGAAAAAAGAAAATGTCATCACCTTGTAAACAGGACCAAAACCACCTTGTCCAAGCTTATTTGAAGCCGAGAAGTTATCTGTAGCTGCACTTAGTGTCACCCAATCAATGAACGGGAAATTCTGAGAATTCAAGTTGTCCCTTGCCTGCAAATTCTGATGATGTACATCTATCTTGCTGGGGTCCCCAGTTTCATGTAATTGAACTTCTGGGCCAGAAACTTGCCTTTCCTCTAAAATTGGAAAAAAAATAATAATAATAAAAAATAACAGGTTTAATTTTAGAGTTATGAAAAAAAAATAAGAATAAATAATTGTTAGTGAAGGGAAAAAAAGAATCTTCAACTAGATAGCATCATTACTTGTCTTAGTTTGATTCCTAATAGCAAGACAGTAGACACAAAATCCCACAAGTGCTACAATTAGAATTGCTGATCCAATTGCAAGGCCAACAATCATCCAATACCTGCTGCTTTCTTTCAAAAATCAAGAAGAAGAAAAAAATTACTAAATTTGCGGCTTACTATTTGTACATCAAATTCGAATATTGATAGAGAATTTGTTAACACTTACTTGCAAATATCCTCTGATTTTCTGTTGAACTTTTACTTGCATCCCCATAAAACGCATAGAACTCATACCTTAAGAAGCAACTACGGCTAAAAAGTCTAGCCCCACGAGACTTAGAGCAGCAAGTTGAAGTGTTTGCTATTGCTGTTTCAAGGCATGTGTTACAGTCATCTGGAGACAAGTCTCTAGTGCACTGCACGAGAGCGTATATTGTTTTAGTGTCTGTGAAGGTCACCGCTTCAGTGGCATACATACCATATGAAGGATTGAATGCTGCCAGCCTGCTAAGCTTATGCAACGTGTCGTTCACGACAGAAATGAACAGGCCTAGTTCATCATCTGAAACATTTGCTGAGTTGTATTGCGGAATGTTTCCTGTCACGTCCAAGGTGCCAAAGAACGATTCATTGGAGTAGCGCAACTGGCAATTTTCCTCCCACATAACCGCTTCGTTTCTGTTTTCGCAACGGTTTTTGATGTCTTGTATTGCACTTGCTATGCAGTTCTCACACTTCTGTGCTTCAACGAAGTTATAGCAGAGAAAGAGACCGAAAAGTCCGTCTTGGTTATTTCCCATCTTGGTGGTGTAGAACTTGGAGACAGAGGCTTTTGAGGACAGAGAATGAAGAAGCTTTTCGAGATTATAATCAAATATACTATTAGTTGTAGAAATAGTTGTGTTTGAGCAAAGTTCATAGCGAGGGGCTTTGGCATGAACAAAATGATGAAGAACAGAAAAGAATGAATAAAGCAAAAGCATTTTCATTGTTTTTGGAAATGGAAACATGACTGACTGGCCTCGTTCAATAGTGCTAGGCTTGAGGAGAAAACAAATAAAGCTGTTTTTAATAACAAAATTATATAGACACGAGAAATTATATGGTACACAGCATTACCCTTGATAGAGACTTCATACACAGAAAAGTACTCAGTTGGGTAATGCTACAATACATACCGGTGTGCCATATGCAAATTAAAAATATAAACTAATTTTCCATGACTAATCTTTGAGGTACAAGCTCAAAAATTCAAAGGTACAAGCTCTATTGTATAAAAGTTGAATTCAAATTATAAATTATTTTTTAAAATATAAATCTATGCATGATTTTGTGTATAGTTTGCTCCTTTCATGTTTGATTATTTTTTAACTTTGACCCTTAAAGTTTGATTTTTTTCTACTTTGACCGTTCATGTTTTAAATTTTTCCTAATTTACTCTAAAAGTTAATTTCTGTTCAAAATTAGACAGAAAATGTCACGATAACTATTAAATAACATAAAAAAAGGTATTATAATATTGGGATTTGTGTTAGAGGTATAAGTTATATACTACAATATTTTCATATCACGTGACTGTCAATGTGTTTTTTCTGTCTAATTTTTAACAGCAATAGTAAATTGAGAAAAACTTGAAACATGAAAGGCTAGAGTAAAAAATAAATAAATTTTAAGATCCAAAGTGAGAAAGTGACCAAATATAACAGGGGGAAATTGTAATTTACGCTATCTTAAAGTACTTTACATGACTATGAATCTATGATATATGACTGTAACAGATGAAGAAGGGATGATAAACTAATTTCCATCCCTAATTTTTGAGTCCAGATCCTATGTAGTGTTGAGCACCCAAAAAATAAATAAATAAATAATAATAATAATAATAATAATAATAATAATAATGACATATTACAACGATAGTCCCTACTTTGGTTTTTATATCATTTCGGTCCCTAGGCTCCTATTGGGACTAGGATTGCAAAATAAAACCCCTCAATTTTCTTTTTATTAAACCCCCACCTTAATATCAACTATACCCCTAACCCTAAATCCAAACCCAAACCCTAATTCCGTCATCATCACTTCCGGCAATCACCACCACCTACGGCCGTCACCATCACCCTTTCCTCACCGACGACAAGCCCTCATTCACCAGCAACCATCCTACTAGTACTTCCTCATCCCCATCTTCTTTTGCAGCCTCTTTTGGCTCTTCTTGGGTGTTTTGATTCAATTCCTTGTAATTGAAGTTTTTGCGATAAAAAAAACAAACAAACTAATGGTATTATCAATTGGACTAAATTAATACAAAATTTTTAAAATGATGGATCAAAATTAAGCCAATTAAAATTGTAAGAATCAAAACAACATGATAAGTAAAATGTAAGGATCACTGCTAATTTGCCCCAACTTCTTAGTTACACCAAACAAATAGGAATTGTTGGGTTGCTTGTTATGGTGATTTGGAGAGGGAATATTAGATTTGCAGTGGGTTTTGAAGTGGGTGGGTATTGCCAAAGTCGTTGTCTTGGGAATTTGAAGAAGGGTTTATTGATAGATCAGAAAATGTTGTTGAAGTAGACAAGTGGGTATTGATAGATGGTTATTGTTTCATAGTTTTGGGGGCTCAGCTTTGTTGGGGTTTGTGTTGGGGCTGAGTCAAGAGTGAGAAAGTAGGGACAAGTGTATGAAATGATAATTTGTAGTTGGGTTTTGGAAGGCAGAGAGTGATGGAGGAGGCTGGTTTGAAGAAGTAGTTAGGAAGAACTGAAATAGACGGTAGAAAATGATATATCTCTAATATGTTTCTTTAAATATCAGTCGATATATATATGGAGATTTTAGACTTTCGGTACCAATATTCACGAACATATAATTGCATAAGGGGTTAAGTAATACAATTAAAAAATCATGGGGCAAAGTATAAATTTCCCTAAATACTAATTGTCACAACCCGAACCCGCCGCCGTGGGTTAAGAACATAACTGGCCAGTAATCGTGAGATTACCTACAGCCTCAAACCAAACCAAACCAAATGTAGTTTAACAGAGTTAATGGGGGCCAAACGGAAGCAATTTAAAAACTTTATCCTTAGAGTTGTGCTTACATGGCATGTCAAACAAGTCATACACATACACATTAATAACTCACAACAGAATTAAAGTATCAAAAAGTGCTGTACAGATAGGATCATCCAAAACTAAGTCAACCCATGAACTATATACAGACATATACAAAGGCTCCGCCAACGTGACAACATAAAACAAAATAATAAAGGCGAAGGCGAGTCTCATGCGTGAGACACATAGGCTGACTTTCCAAAACTCGATTGTTCTATACAGACTTCACTAGGGCTGGGTTTGGACCTCTCTTGGCTCACCTACAAACACATGAATGAGCGTGAGCGGAAGTTCAGTGAATAATATCAAATAAAGAAAATACATTGAAACATTATACAACAGACGGCCTTTGGCCTAATTCATTCATGTCAAACTGGCCTTCGACCCTTTTCGAACATTTATATCAGAGTAGCCTTTTTGGCCCTATCAAACTTTTGTATCAGACTGGCCCTTCGGCCCTTTCAAACTTGTCATATCAAACTGGCATTTAAGTCTTTCAAACTTGTCATATCAAACTGGCATTTAAGCCTCTCAAAATTGTCATATCAAGCTGGCATTTAAGCCTTTCAAACTTGTTATGTCAAACTGGCATTTAAGCCTCTCAAACTTGTCATAATAAACTGGCATTTAAGCCTTTCAAACTTGTTATGTCAGACTGGCATTTAAGCCTTTCAAACTTGTCCACCATTCAAAATTAATGAACTTTACAAAACTTACATAGAAGTAAGCAATTGGACAACAATATGTATTTCAGTTATTACTCACAATGATCGGTTTGCGGATTTGCCCTGGAGCTCGACCCTACACATTCCATGAACACAAAAGGGTCACTAACAATACAATCCGTTCTAAATTCACATTTTCCTCTTTAGGCTTTATTCTTATCTCTTTAACTCATTTACAATGTTTAACACATGCCTAAAAGTGCTTGTAAGTGAAAGAGAATGGAAAACGAAACACAGAATGCGAAAACAAAATCTCAGAAGACAGGGTCCCCCCTCGAGCGCGGACTACCCTGCTCGAGCGGACCTGTAAGGCCTGCAAAAGTACTGGTTGCATCAAAAATACGCTCGAGCAGAAGGCCTGTCTAAATAGCTCCCCCGCTCGAGCGTGAATTACCCCGCTCGAGCAGACACCAAGTCTGCAAAAAGTACTTGGAGCACGTATTTCCCGCTCAAGCGTCAGTTACCCCGCTCGAGCGGATATCAAAATTCTGGAAATCGCAGATTGTGTTCTTGAGTTTCATTTCGACTTTCAATTAACAATTCATGCATTTTATAGCTCCAATTCCACACATACTTGTACTAACATGGTATAAACACCAAAACACATCAACATGGAGCTCAATTTCAAAGATTTGACACATGCATGGCTCAAATTGACGCCAAACTCAATTCTAACATACACATTTATGCATTCAAAGCTCTTATCTTCATAGATTGTACATGCATGTGATGTCTAGCTCCCATTCTCAACTTAGATGATACCAATGGTGATTATACATGAGCTTCAACTACAAATTTACATGGATTTCAACCAAATTGCAACATGAATCATGTAATTCAAGCTCAATCATGCAAATTCCAAACAATTACATACATGCATGCATATATGGTCTTCCAATTCAACAAAACAAATTCAAAACATGCTCTTTACCATTAATTAACTTTGAACTCACAAGATTACACCTTAAGCTCATGAATTCAAGAATCAATGCTTACCTAGAAGCCCAATCTTTAGTTAATTCTTGAACTGGACTTCAAATTCCCAAGCTTGAGTCAAAAATTACACAATTCTCTCCCTCACTCTCTCTAACAGCCGGCTCTTTTATCTTTCATAGAGTTTGATCAGCCCAAGTGAAGCTAAAGGAAAGAAATGAGGGTATAATGCTCAAATACAACAAATCCCACTAGCCACAATTAATAATTTTAAATAGTTAAGCACTAATTCACCAATTTAATCCACTTAATCTGGTCCGAATCAATTTTTCAATAAAACTTCACCGTAGGCTCTAAAAATTATGTCAATCACAAAGGCGCAATCAATTTCAGGTTCTGTGGCCGATAAGGCCCTCAATTTAATTTCCAAAGCAAATAGTCAAACAGATATTCCTACAGTGAACAGATAGAAATTGAAAACCGCACACACAAAATCATATTAATCACATATTCACACTCAAATTAATGACCAATTAGCATACCACGGAACAGGGGTATCACAGCCTTCCCCCCTTTAGGAAGTTTGGTCCTCCAAACTTAATTTACCTTCGTCAGGAAACAAATGTGGATAGCGTAGTCGCATTTCCTCATCTTTTTCCCACGTGGCATCCGTCCCAGAGTGTTCTTTCCATTCTACTTTCACCATTGGGATGGACTTGCTTCTCAATTGTTTCACTTATCGATCAACAATTCGTTCCGGCCATTCAGCGTATTCCATATTCTCATCAATAGCTACCCGGTGATAATCAATCACATGAAACAGGTCTCAATGAAATGGGTCTCGGAGGTAACCCCTCAACATCGACACGTGGAACACATTATGTATTTATCAAATCCCGGTGGCAAAGCAACTCTATAAGTAGCTAGACCGAGCCTTTCCAAAATCTAAAACGGCCCAATGTAACGGGGCGACAACTTGCCCATTCTTTCCAAACCTGACTTGGCCTTTCATTGGTGACACACGAATAAACACATGCTCACCAACCTCATACTCAAGAGGTCATCTTGAACATCCACATAGTTCTTTTGTCGGTCCTGAGCTGTCTTGAGCCTTTGACGGATAGTCTTGATTTTCTCAAAAGTGTTTTGCACAATTTCAGGCCCAAGCAAAGCTCTATCCCCGACCTCTGTCCAACAAATAGGTGATCTACACCTCCTACTATACAAAGCCTCGTATGGTGCCATACCGATGCTAGAGTGGAAGTTGTTATTATAAGCAAATTCTACAAGTGGCAAATAGTCTTTCCAACTCCCTTGAAAATCCAAAGCACACATCGAAGCATATCTTCCAAAGTCTGTATTGTTGTTCCGATGCCCATCTGTCTGTGGGTGGAA